ACAGCCCACCGGCAGGACCCCGCCAGGTTCTTCCCGTGCTCCGGACCTCCAAGGTACATCGACCATCGGAGAACGTCAGAAGTGCTTGTGACTGTGGCCGGCATCCCTTCGCCAGAGCCTTCGAACCAACTTTGCGACTCAGCTTCGTCACCTCTTTGTTGCACAGCTGTGTGGGTTCCACAACCTGCTGTAAGTACATCTGTCAACGCCAGGCCTTCGCGCTGCTTGGGTCTTTGCTCGGCTTCTTGAAGAGCGCCCCTTGCAGCACGCGGTACTCCACGGGCTCCTCCGTGCTTCGGAGTTACTATAGCCTTGTGAGCTTCTCGTCAGCAACTGAGCCCCTGGCAACTGCTTCACCGGCCAGAGAACTGGCGCACTGGCAACTGCGCGTCATCGCACTGACAACAGCAATGAATCCCGGCCCTGGACGCTCCAATGGCTGAACAGCAGTCAGAGTGGCAACATGCAACAACACATGCACTGATCGAGAAGCCAGCGCGCAAAAAAGATCGGCAAGCGTCGGATGACATTTTTCTCAGCTCGCATGTTGTTGCCGACTAAAGATTCCTGGGATGTACCAGACGAGTTCCGCTCCACTGGTCTCGCTGTCGCAGTATGCACGCTTGCAAGTTTGATGGTATGAACTGCAATCTGCGCAGTAAAACCTGATCGATGACCCGTTTGAGAATTTTGGGGGCGCTACGTCGACAACCCAAATAGCTGATGCGAGCTTTGCTGCAAGGAAGGCCAGCAATGGCTCTATAGGGCCTACGCAAGCAGCCAGCAAACTTCAATTTGGATTCACCGCTCGGTTGTTTGTCCTGCTCCGGAACAGCTTCTGCAAACATGAAGTGTAGGATTACAGTAGGAACAAGCGCAGGGGGTTCCCGGCAGACCAAGCCCAAGCGCCCCTCAAGAAGCGTAGGCCTTCTACAAACATGTCTTGCAACATCTCGCGGCCCCTGTTTGAAATTTCTGTAGAAGAAGGAAGTGACTTGTTTAAACATGTAGTTCGCTGTGCTCAGCAGAGGGAAACTGACACGGCACAAGTACAACAATGTTATGTCGATCTTTCAAGTTCGCGCCCTGCAATGGCCTGAAATTCTACCGTGTGGGTGATCCTTGACGGTCGGCGCCCCAATTGAAAATTGGGGCAGCCTGACCTGGTGGCGGAATGCTGCTGGAAGGCTGCTCCTCATGTCCAAATAGGTACATCCAACTTGAAATACCTCTCAGTTGCTTCGTGCCGGATTCCCAGCAAAGGATCTAGTTCCAACTGTTCAGACATGTCAAAGTGGTGCTTTCCAGCGCAACCCCTTAAGGGCCTTACAGAATCGGGGCAGCGTCCCTCTCGGCAGAATGCCGCTAGAAGACTATTCCTAATTCCCAAGATGCACATCCAATTTGATGGCAGCTCATTGAGGCGAGCTGCGGCGTGTGGATGTGCTCGGCTTTCCCTGGAGCAAAAGTCTTTCCAAGCACATCTGACACAGTGCCAAGATATCAAGCCGAAATTCGGACTCCAATGTTGCGCTTGATCCACTGAGTGGCAGACTTTTCCTTTCGAAAGCGACAGCAGGTGCGCCACTCTGCCTCGAATCCGAGAGGCAAGGGCCGGCACAAAATGACATCACCAAAGCCGTGGCTTCACATCTCAGATTGCCAGCTCTGAGGGATGGAGCTGCCCGGTCGGGATCCCCAGCATGTTATTCAACACCAACACAAAGAATGCAAATGGGGACCAACACACACTGATTCTTGTAAACCTAGAGAAGCACAGACTAGTGAGGATAAATACAAGAAAAAAAGAAAACACTGCCACATGCAATGTGAGTAGGATTTGAGGTTTCGGAATGCACGTTCGTGATTCAAGGTTTCTCGGGCACAGGTCCAAACACATTTTCACCAAAACTTCTGACCAAATTGATTCTGCTTGCGTAGGGGCCGACCCTTTTTTGGGACTGAGCCTTGCAATCTTACTACGTAGCACTTTTCTGCTATTGAGCTCAAGGCGCCTACGGTAGGCAACATGTGAGAGAGCAAACAACCGCACGCTCTCTTAATTATTAAGGGGTGTTAGAAGAAACTCAGTAGTAGATCCTAGATGTATGAGATGTGACGCCGGCTGCACAACTAGAGTACAGGGATTGTCTCACGTTCGTGGCTTGTATGTCCTCTGTAACAAGCGAATCTGCTGGCGCTACTGTACCATCGTAACTGGTTGCACATATCATGGACTCTTCTGGCGATGACATGGTCATGGGCAGTGAGTAGCACTGACACACACATTTTCTGCGGCATCACCAACCTTAGCATTGTCGTTTTCGAAGATCGGTGTCTCGAGCATCGGTACCTCCATGGCTTGCTCGGGCGCCTTCGCCGAATTGCCATAGGACAATCCTTTCAAGATTGCGGCACCAGGAAACTGGACCGGGGAGGTTTTCGTCGGCCTTGCCGTGCTCAGTGAACAAGGATGTCATTGGACACACGTCCCAATGTACTGCCATTCTTTCGTCGCTGATTCGCGAGTGTAAACATGGCCTACGCCACAAATCTTGGCCTTCGGGTCGTATCGACCGTGGTGATAGGTCACCTTCAGGTTCTTGGTCCGATTACCCGCGTTCCTTTCTTCTTGTGTATCTTCCGCTTCCGGGGTATATGGGCCTATCCACGTTCTTGGCACGTGGGGGCCATGGGGCTTCCCAAGTTTGGGATACATAGCCTGCCTAAGGCCTCTATCACCGTTCCGGGTATGTGCGAAAATCACACACTCCGCCTCCCTGCACGGTCATCGTGGACAAGAGGATACTGTAAGCCTCCTCGGGCTGCTCATCCACAGGAGCATCCCTGGGCGCTGGCCGATTCGGCTTCTGCGGTTTGCCCAGTCGGGCGATCGATGCCAACAATGTCGACGGGGGCTGAAAGTCTTTGTAATGGGGTCGCCCTTTCGACATCTGCAAAAATCCGGGGTGTAATTATGCCGGCGCTCATTCTGCGCATGAAGTGGTCGTGACGGAGATCTAACATGTGTAGGCGAGTGTACTCGTGTCGGAAACGGCGACTCTCCCCTTCTAGGCGTTCCTTGTCCCTGTGGATGCTCTTGCTGAGCTGATGATGATGGCTGCTGACTTCCTTTCAGAAGTTCGAGACGGGTTTCTGCCCTAACTCGCTTCTCGTGCTCAGCGACCAACTCCTCTCTCGTCCTTGCCAGGTCAAACTCCGCTCGTCAAAGTAGTGTCCGTGCACTATGGCACTCTTTCGCCAGCTGATCGTGGGTCATTGCAAGGAGTTCTGCTCTGCTCATTTGTTATTTTTGGAAGAAGAGACGCCGATGGCCCGCCAAACGACACATTGCAGGCGACCTCCTGAAATTGGCCTGTAGGCGCAGGCGCAACGGGCTTCTGCGGAGTTCCAGGCACTGTGGCCTTAGCTGAAGGTGACTGGGTCGGTGCCTCCGTCTGACCCTGGGCTTGAGGAGTCTGCGATGGCAAGTTGCCCATCTGACCCAATATGATTCTGCAGGTGCCATGAGCAGATTGCTGGCGCTGCGTATCCTGAACTTGTCGAAGATAATCAGGCGCAACCCAGCCCAGCTTCGAATGGGCATACGGGCTGTTGCGGGAACTATCTTCACAGCGCCCTTTGCAGGTAAACTTCCCCATCCCCATAGTGCTCCACGTATCTGCCGAGCATATTGCAGCGACATTCTCAGTGGAACGCGGGGGCGCTTGGCCAGCAATAGGTGCGATAGCAGAAAGACCGCGGCCATTTGTGTGGTCCAATCCAATATGGCTCTGCTGGCAGCCAAGAATGCGTGCGCCTTTGACATCTGCTCCAGAATTTACGACGCCTTCGCCTTCCCTCTGGCTCGCCTGCACTGACTCCATGTTCATTGTGAGCGTGACAATTTCTTCGGTCTTCACAGCGATGTCGTTGAAGCCCTTTGGGCTGCTTGAGAATCTTTCTGATAGCGGGCTCATTGCGATACGAATCGTGCTCCAACTCTGCCAGGGTGTACAGGAACCAGCGTTGGCTGTGGAAGAATCTCATAGCGTCGGGGATCTGGAACTGCAACCTCTGTGCTTGATGACGCCTGAGCCTGCGCACCGGTCTGCGCCAGCAGGATGGCCTTGGGCTGCCTTCTGGCCTTCGCCGGAGCGGTAGCCTCGCCAACTCAGGGAAGTCGCCTGGTAGGGCCGGCGAGCACTCCGTGTTCACAGACGCTGTGGCCCGTGAGCACTGTGGCCCTGGGACTCTTGACCGCGGCCTGCGTCGAACAAGCAAAGTGTTTTGGCAGCGCAGCATGTGCCTATCCCTACTGCAACCGCAAAGGGTTTAGCCGGACTCCTACACTCCTTGTCACCGGCCAAATGACCACTTGCACCACATTCCTGTAGCTTGGCCTTCATATCTGCTATGGATAGGTTTGACTGCGCGAGCTTGCCCTTGCCAAAGCCTTGGTTGTTTCCAAAGGGTTTGCCCTTGCCCTTGCCTTTTGATGACAAGGGCTGTTCGGGCTGCATTGGCTAACTGAAATAGTCGCCACCTAGGTCTTCAAGGCCTGTTTCTTCCTGCGCTGAGAAATAAGCAGTCAACGCGATCAGCTCAGGCTTTGTGTCCTGTTCAGGCTCCATAGGAATCATTCCACCAATCATCATGGCCCTGTTCGGACGAAACATACCCAAACTTCGAAGGCGAAGTGGAAAAACTGTTATACTACATTCGGTATTGCGAGGGATTATATCCTGAATACCTTCTGCCCTTGCCATCTGGCTTGCCATCGTAGTAGCTTCTCGTCGTTTTCGACGGTTCCTCGCGTAGTCGTTCGCTGAGGTGAACCACGCTATGGTGTTGTACGAGAACTCGTCAACAGTCTCTTCCTTAGCAGCGGTTTTCACCATCACCTACTCCAACTTTTGCTAGTCCGGTTTTGAGATAGTCAATCACACAATGTGACCCACCATCTCTTCCTACGGTTGATGTAGGAGGTCATGCATTCGTCACTTTTCCTTGAGAGGGGACCATCCCGTTGTTGTCCAACTCGAAAGAGCTCTGAGGCTTCCTCGCTTTGCAGCCAAGTCTTCCCTCTGGATGGCCTCAATCAGCTGGTCTATGCCATCACACTTGCTCAGGTGCTCGGCGCCGAGATCTCGAGCAATCTGGAAAGCATCAGCTCGCATTCCTTCAAGGATTCGGCAGACGGCCAGATCCTCTTGCGTCTCATCTTCTCGAAGTGTTGCAAGACCCAGCTTGCGTCCTGAATTTCCAATCGTGAAAGCCGGATGCTCTGCCGGAATAGATGTATGAGCCGGACTTGGTCTCAAGTGGCATACCATACGTCTCATCCGGATTATACCGGAGTCCTGCGACAGACTGGCTCAGGTTGAAAAAGCAAAAGTATGATACGGGCTTGCCCCTACCTAGCTACGGGCAGTATACCAGCTTAGCTAGATACTTGGGTGAGACAGACCGCTTAGTCCCTGGTGCTTTGCAGCCGACGGTCGTTCTTGTGAAGGAGGTGGTGCTCCGCTACAAGTTTGGGGACTGAGCCCGTCTTACTACGTAGCACTTTTTTCTGCGATTGAGCTCAATCAAGGCGTTACGGTAGGCAACATGTGAGAAAGCAAACAACCGCACGCCGTCTTATTCAGGGGGGTTAGAAGAAACTCAGTAGAAGAAGCTATGAGATGTGACCTCGGCTGCACAACTAGAGTACAACTATACAGGGTGGACTTCACACTTGGTTTGGAATCCTTTGGTTTAGTGGAGGGGTGCTGACATGCTGAACCCGCACAGGGGCTCGGACTTGGGTGTGTGAAGTGCTTATCATCAAAACGACAAACCATATTGCAGCCTCGAACCCTAAATGCTAAACCTAAACCCTACAATCCCTAAAGCCCCAAGTCCCTGGCCCTGTGCACGAAAAAAGGCCGTTGTTCGCGACTTGAGTTTTGGGTAGTTGACATCATTCAAACTGGGGGGGTGTTGCCAGTGCCGAAAAAAAGAAGACATAAAAGAATGAAGACAAAACAATACAGACAACGACATATTACTCAAGACCCTGAGGATCTACACCCAGGCAACTACCGGTAACCCCAATATTACCTACAGCTTTCAAGGTTCTGCCTAGACTGAGCTCGGCACTCTTCAACTGCTCAACTTCGAAGACAGTCATCGACTGGCACATTTCTCACTGCATGTGGGCTGAAAAGTGGCTTCTGCGCGCCTTGAACGTATGGTAGTCGTCCATCACCCACAGGAGCTCCTTCTGGTAGCTGCACTAGTCACAAACGGGCTTGTCCTTTACGCTCGGTTTTGGAAGAAATAGACAGGGCGCCATTTGAAAACTAAAAATGAAAAATATCGAATGGAGCTGCTATCATTGCAAATCGAAATTGCAAACTTCAAACTTCTGAGTCCGAGATTGTGAACGCTGCATCTGTGAGTCTGCGAGTCTGGAATTGGAATCCTGAAGTCCTGAAGTCCTGAAAATCCTGAAAAACTTGAAGTGGCCCGGTCCAGCCGAGGCACACGCAGGGCCTTCCATCATACTCAAGGGAATCACCGTTGAATCACCATCATCATCATCATCGGATGACCCTGACCTGACCTGAATGACTTGAATCAATTTGAATAGTGGCCCGGCCCAGCCGAGCCATGCTGGGAGTGCCTCCCATCAGCAAGTCATTGGCATATCGGGTGGGCCCCACGAGCAGCAGCGGGAAGATGTTCCGGAAAAAAAAAAAAAAAAAAAAAACATGCCACGAGCAGCAGCGGGAAGAAGTTCCGGAAGAAGAAAACATGTCCGTTAAGCTGAGGTATTTCTTGCCTTGCCCACTTACAGTCATGGCATAGATGCTTGAGCCACAGGATCCAGAACTCCAGAACTACAGCGGCAGGCGGCAGGATCACGGTCATTTTTTGGAACGCCCTGCCCCCCCCCCCCCCCCCCCCCCCCCCAATCTCGCCTAGTCTTGAGAGGACACGAGAAAATAAATGTGTTCAGGATTAGGGCCACTCACTCTGTCACACTCAAATTTATGCTCTTATCGCTGCTCCATTCGATATTTTTCCGCTTCATAATGTTTTAGTCGATCTGTCTATTTTTTTTGCCAAAACAAGGCAAAGGACAAGCCCGGTCACAAATCGAAAGCCCAAGAATGAGTTGAGAGGGGCGCATTGGCCTCACAGAAGATTCGGGCGAGAGCTCTCTCAAAAGAGAGCCATGTGTTTGAGCCGACGTCGTGAGGAGGTTTGTTTACACTGAAGGTGTGCAATCCGTGAAATGCAATCTGTTCGCGTAGGCTTTTGAAGATCGACGCCAACATCGAAGCCCAACATCCAACTTGACAACACAAGCTGACCCGATGGGTCACATCCACCTGCATACCGCAGCCCGGCTCTGATGCCATCACATGTTACGACCGCTCGCCACCCGCTCTGTGCAGCCAGCAAGTAGACATCCTAAGCGACACATTGCTGGAGGGCGCTTGCCCAGTGCCCGAGTAAGGTCCCCAAAAGAGTTGCCGGGTGGCCCCCACGGTCATGGTGCTTCATGGCAATGCGCCTGTGGAGCGGTTTGCTGCATCCGGCCCGGTGTGTGCACACGAGCCACTGGTGCGCCTGTCATTTGGATCGTATCACAATGCCCCCGCACGTCATGGGGTGTTGGCCCTGGCCTCTATGGTCACCATGTTGATGAATCGATCGTGCGTGTAAATGCGTGCGTGCATGTCCGCGTTTGTGCGCATGTGTGTGTGTGCCTGCGGACGTCAGGCTGATGTATCTGTCATTCTTGGAGACTCAAAGCTTTAAACATCCGGCTTCAGTAAGTCTGCGGCTTGAAGCTCGGTCTCAATTGCAGTTTGTCGTGACCTTACTCGGGAGAGGCGTCACGAGATGCCCAAAGCAAACAAGCGAGCACCAAGCAAACAAGCAACAACAACAACAACAACAACAACAACGACGACGACGACGACGACGACGACGACGACGACGACGACGACGACGACAACAGGCCACTATAGCTGTCCCACACACCCTCAGCAGCCACATGGCACCAAGCACCTCACTGCACGTCGTACAAAGCGTGCCAGAGCTGGTCAAAGGCGCACTCCATCTCCTGTTTCAAGGGCCTCCTGCAGCCTTGGTGACATGAAAATCACCAGACACCACTGCAAGGAGAGGCTCGCACCCTGAGGTTGAAGCAACGACTCCGTGTCCAGCGAAGCGCCTTCTGATGCACCAGCTCCACCCTGCGCCAGACAAATCTTGCAACATGTGAAACCATCGCAGCAGAGGCGGAACCGAAAACCCTTCTCCAGGTCACAGTGGCCTCTCCCTGTGCACAACAGACCCTCCCGCTTCTCGCCCTCTGCGCAATAGACCCTCCCGCTTTCCACACTCATATCAAAAAGCAGCGGCCTCATCAGTAATCACAGGAAACTTGGCTAGTGCCTGTCAGACATGTACGTGTGTGATACGAAAGCTCATGCAGGCGTTTCCCTCGCAAGCTAGATATGGCAAATGAAGGGACAGAAACTGACACACGATTGATTGTCCTCCAGGGACCGCCCAAGCCACTATAATGATGACAGAGGATAATCTCGCAATATGACCTGTAACCTCTACAATCTGCCAAAAGAGTTGGGGCGTGTCTGGAGCTGCAGAGAAAAGCCATCCAGCACATTTGCCTGCTCAGAGCTTGCGCCTAGATCTGGTCCTGCAACGGAAGAGACTGCGAGGAGCTGTGCTTTTTTGCACTCTTGAAGCCTTCTTCTGGCGCAGGTGCCGCAAGCGCCGGTGGTGTTGGAGACCTCAGCGAGCATGGACTGTGCACGTTACCGCTGTATCGTTGCCTCGGCTCTGTGGAGGCTGCACGAAAACCTTTGAAACCCTGGGCCGCGGCTTCGGAGTGTCCTTCAGAGAGGCGGTTGCGGCATTCTCTCCTCCAAACCGGAACAGTACTTCCAAAAACTTCAAACTCAACCTACGCAAGTGGTCGGCTTGCAAACACAGCATAGGGCAGGGCCACCTCCATGTGGATCTTGGGCCATTTCCAGCTGCGGCCTTGGTGACATGAAGATCACCAAAAACCACTGCAAGGACAGGTTCGCACCCCGAGGTTGAAGCGAGGACTGCGTGTCGAGCGAGGCGGAAGAAAAAGCCTCAAAGAGCTGCTTCTCCTTCGTTCACAGAGTGCGTACACAATTGTTGGAAGATTTGCACAAACAGGGGAAGCCTCGTGGCAAAGATAGGCCCCATGCCTGGATTCCGACAATTTCTGGAAACATGAGACTCTGCGTCTTTGCAGATCACGGCCTGGGATCAAAGCCCGCAGAAGGCTCTGGGAGCTGACAGCCTTTGGAACAGATGACGCTCAGTTCGAACACCTGACTCTTTGTCCTCCAAGACTCCAAGACGTGTGCGTCCTTGTACTTACTCGGCCACATCATGGATCGAATCACCTTATGTTCCTGAAGCAGCTTGCGCGAAACGTGGTTACAAGAGCTTCTTTCTACAAGTTCGACCAATTCAAGTCAGCATCCAGTTGCTGCGCAAGTTCAGGTATGCCATTGCATAACACCCGGAATATTTCAGCTCACGGCTATGTAAATAAATCGCGCAGTTCCTAAAAATTCTCAGGCAACCGTCAGGAATCAGTTTGCGTCCTAGTACGCTTAGGCTTCACTCATCTGTCCTGGTTCATGCTAACTTTCCAAGAACTTCGGACAGCTGCCTGCACTTCTGGGCTCTTCATGTTGGCTGGCACTTTGCACTCCATCTCTCCAAGCTTTTGGGCAAGAGTTCAGACATCCTCATCTCAGACATATTATCAAAGCGCATTCAGTCTTCTCGAGAAGGCTGCCGCTAGATCTTCTTGTCAGCCCGATGGACGTCTGCAACTCTTACTTTCTAACTAGCTGCGAGTACACTTGCATGTCGTCTCTCGCCATTTCTTTTGTACACCATTCTAGTCTGAACCAAGACTTGTGCTCAGCACCAAACCGGCCCAGGGAAAAACCACGTGTGGGAGAAAAACCCTGGGCCTCAAGAACGCCAGCCGGCTGCCTTAAAATTGAGAGAACCCAACCTAACCCCAAAACCCACCCGACAAGCAACACCTCTTTTGTACAACGCATTTCAACGCTGAGGCAGCGTCTGTGCGAGGCAGAGTTTTCTGCACACCTTGGGTAGGAAAACCCAGCACACCTCCACCCCAAAAACTCGCAGCTTTTCCAAGGACTGGACTCTAAAGCTTCAAATCAAAGTCAAACATGCTGGTACCATGCAATACCATGCACCGTGTGTCTAGAGACAATTTGGGGTTCCCTCGTTCCTAAGATACTTACTAAGTTAAAGTGTCTAGTAGCACTTGTTGGATACTCCCTGAATGATCTACATGGCGAGCTTTCATCGAAACGACCCCAGACTACCGGAACGAAAAAGCGCGCTTATGTGTCTTTTGGCACTGATGCTGCTATGCGCCTTGAGATAAGAAGCTGACTTGCGTGATGTCGAGCAGGCGCTCGGCTTGGCATGTTTCAAGTCATGTGATTCGGTTTGCCTCTGCGCTTCATCAAACGGCAGCGGGAGGCTTGGGGACCGACGTGGACTGTCATGACCCTGGGACAGCCCCTGAGGTTCGATCTCATGCACCCGCACCTCATATAGACCGCAGGAAGAAAGAGTACGAACCTGAGATTGAACTTGCACATTTGCCCCGGAGCCGAAGCACTGCACTGTACTGCATTCCGACTCACAGCTGCCAGCACATGCAGCCGCAAACTGACAGCGGTTGCAAGACAAGATGTGAACCCAAATTAGACACACCGAAATCCTGTGAAGAAAGTGTCGTCTTCTTCAAGCCGGTGGCCGGCGCCAATCCCCAATTGCAACACCCAACTCTTTCGGCGGTGCGCTTTTCGAGCCCCCCAGATCTCCACCAACAGCTGCATCTTTTGCATCAACTGAATTCGCCTCAGCTTCCGTCCCGCCGCGCCACCCCAGCTGCAAACCGATGCCGCGGGGGGTCCCGCCTGTCGGTGGCTCCTGAGGGGGCGGCTCCAAAAGCACGAATTTTGGCCGCTTGCTCTTTTCCCTAAAACTGGACCTCCCCCCCGGGACCCCCCTGAGACCCCCCCCTGGGACCCCCTGAGACCCTCTTTGGGAGCCCTGCTGAGACGCAAACGCCTGGAACTCTTTTTTGGGCCTGGCCCTCCCCTTGTTGTTGATCTCCTCTTTTCCTGTCCGTGGGCCGACCCGGCTGCCGAGGCGGCGCGCGCGCAAGCGTTTACAATTTCAAAATCCAAATACACCAGCAGTCGATCGAGAAAAGCACGAATTAAGAATCGGAGACGTTTGATTAGCGTCGTCGTGATGTGTGTAAACTTGTAAACGTGTAACGAAGAAATGTCCTTTGGGGAGCCGGGAAGAGCCGCTCAGATCCGCAAGAAAAAACCAAAAAAAAGTTCCACGGTTCCCTCTCCCAGATGCCCTCTTTCGCGCCGCTCGCTCAATTGTGCCGAGTGCTGAGAGAGTCCATGTTGGGTTCAGTCGAACCGCGGGGCCGCGAGTCCATGTGAGAGTCCATGTTGAGGCACTGGCTGACGCGCATCCCTTTTTTCTCCGAGAAGCGAGAGTTAACGAGGGCACCCCCAAGACCCGCGCAGCTGCTGCGATGGGGGATTTGGTTCCGCATTTGCAACGGCTCAAAGCGGGGCCTCGCAGGCCCTCCAGCGGACTCCAGCGCCTCTCAGCTGGGGGCACTTCCCGGAGCGCTTTGCTGTCCGGGCTCAGCCAGCTGTTCTGTTTCACAGAGACTCAGAGGCTCAGCTGGCTCCCTCTCAGCTGCCGCTCTTCCGCGGGGCCGGGGACCCTGGGGGCAGAGAATTCCCCGGACGCGGCGAGGCCGCCGCCGACGCGGCTGCGAGCCTTAGAGGCTCAGTGGAGACATTGCGAGACCTTCGAGGGCTCAGATGCGCGAGAGGCAAAGCTTTTGTTGGGAAGCGGGAAACACGCCCCACAGTGCGCATTCAGAGACTGGGTGGTGCAGCGTGGCCGAGGCTGTGCCAGATGCCACAGAACCACCGTCCTCACAGAGACTCTCGCTAATCTTGTCCTCCATCGTTTCTCTCACTATGCTTTATAGGGTGGCTTCCTCGATCTGCCGCAGGTCACTGGTGAGGATGGGCAGCACCTGTCTGTCTGGAGAAAGGAGACTTGACCCACACGACGCGCATCTTTGGCTTCGCGAGGCGCGCCTGTATCAGCTGCTCGACCTGCGACAGGGGCGCTTAGTTTTCTTTGGGGGGTGCTTCTCGTGCTTCTCGCCTGCTCCTGGCGCTCCGCCTCGCGCAGCTGCCGGCCGATGGTCTCCTTCCACTCCTCACAAAGAAAGGAATTTTAACTCTCTCTTTTGCTCGTAGCTCTCTCTTTCGCTCTCTTGGTTTGTTCGCTCCTTGGAGAGCGGGGCCTGGCCCTCTTTGGTCCAGTTCTGGACACGGCCCAGCTTCTGGTCCAGGCACTCCAAGGACTGGTTCGCCCTCCGGAGCCTTTAGAAAAAGGAGAGAGCTCTCAATAAAAATAGCTCTCATGGCCATGAGAAAAAAAGGGAAGAGAAGCATCTGAGAGAGAGGGGATGAGGAGAGCATCAAAGAGAGAGTATGAAAGAGAGAGAAAATTGAATAAGACACAGAAAGAATGAGTATGACTGAGTATGGGAGAGAGACGATCTTGGGAAAACATCCATCTTCTTTGTGCGGTGTCTCCTCGCGGCTTTCTTTAGGACAAGCCCTGGCTCCTGCCCCATCACATGGCACGGGCACCGAGACCAAAACAAACCGCAAAAAGAAAACAATCCTGTGAGGACAACAAACAGTCACCATTTGGTATCGACATGTTCCTTTTTTCCCTTTTCCCCAGTCTTCTGGGCATTTCGGCTCCAAACCGGCCTTTGCCGTCCGGAGTGAGCGAAAACCAATCGAAACTCGAGCTTTTTTTGTTTGGCTCCGAGACTGAAAAAGAGTTTTTGGTTATTGCGGCTTCGGGCGAGGAGAACCCACTCAAAACTCAAGGAGTTGTTGTTTTCCAGCACCAAAACCAACAATGCCAGGTTTTGGCTGGCTTTCTGGCTCTTTGCGGTGTTGGGTTCGGAAAACCAATCAAAACTCGCGTTGCCTTGGCTTCTCGACTGAAATATCGACAAAAACAATAAGAAATACACATAAAAACACACACACCCACACACGCACGCACGCACGCACGCGCACGCGCGCGCGCGCGCGCGCGCGCACGCGCACACGCACACGCACCACGCACACGCACACGCACGCACACGCACGCCACGCACACGCACACGCACACGCACACGCACACGCACACACACACACACACACACACACACACACACACACACACACACACACAC